TTAAGGAGAATAACCTCTGACCTACTTTCGCTGCCTATTGTACAGTCACGCTAAAGCAGCTAAGTCTGGTAAATATTTTGGGGAGACAACTTAAGAGAATTCCTTCTGTTCCCCACAAAGCTACAACGGTTTGTTCATGAATTCTACCAGAATCGCAAGATTAATGCATAAGAGGAGCAGAGTACAGGATACTGTGCCACAGAGCAGCATCAAATTCAAAATGATAATTTAAGAGAATAATGATCAATGGTTCTAAAGTAAGTAGACAAAGTACCTCCCCATGACAACTTAAAAACTACAAGGATAAAATTCTTAACTTTTAACTGGGTAAAAGTGAAAAACATGGAAGCAAAGCACAGCCAATTAGCCAAAAACTACTCTCAATCCAAATATAAAATCAGCATTTTATTGCAATTTAACCATCAACTTAAAAATTTTAAACCACAAACTAACGAATGTTCAAGGCTGCTCCCTAAATCCTTACGTGTGATACAAAAAGCTTTGAGGTAAATTTAGCATGAACTGGGAAAGTACACCCCTGCACAGCTGCTCACGAAACTGAAGAATTAGCCATTATTAAGACAGATGTGTACATACAATGAAATTGTTAGTTTTCCCAAAGGCACAAAATAATTTTCATGATCCTTTCTTTCCATTTCTGTTGCCTTCTTACTCTCTAAGATGCTTTCTCTTATGGAATTTGTAGTTTTAAGCATTATTACATGGCAAATCATCCTTACTTAAGACTTCTCTTTACCGCAAGTGTGCTTGTGCACAGAGAAGTTTGAGGACCAACGAAAGGTTTTGCCACATTCCTTACACTCATAGGGCCTCTCCCCACTGTGAATTCTCCTGTGTCTGATAAGAGATGAATAATGAGAAAAGGCTCTGCCACATTCTTTACATTTATAAGGCCTCTCTCCACTGTGAATTATCATATGTTGAATAACATTTGAGGACACACTAAAGACTTTCCCACATAACTTACATTCATATGGCTTCTCTCCACTGTGGGTTCTCATATGACTATTGAGGGATGAAGACCGAACAAAGGTTTTCCCACATTCCTTACATTCAAAATGCTTCTCTCCACTGTGATTTCTCATATGTGCAATAAGGCCTGAAGACTGAAGAAAGGCTTTCCCACATTCCATACATTCATATGGCTTCTCGCCACTGTGAGTTCTCATATGTCTATTGAGGCCTGAAGACTGACCAAAGGCTTTCCCACATTCCTTACATTCATAAGGCCTTTCTCCATTGTGACTTCTCATATGTGTACGGAGGTGAGAAGGATAGCGTAAAGTTTTGCCACATTCTTTACATTCATAGGATTTCTTTCCAGTTACAGTTTGAACTGGGGTCCTGGGGTAAGGAGACCAACTGCAGACTTCCTCACATCCCTTATCTTGAGAGGTACCATATTCAAAGTGAGAGCTGATGTGTTGTGCAAGTGACGAATGATCCATGGAGGTTTCCACACACTGGAGATATGATGAAGAATAGGCTTCCACAGGAGTTCTTCTGAACACAGAAAGATCTAGAATCCAGCTGAAGGGCTGTCCACACTGATAGTCTTCATTGACTTCACTGACATTCCCTATCATATGCTGTCTGTTAAAACAAGCAAGAAACAGTTATATTATATATCTGTTAGTTTCAACGGTGTTAGACACAGTAAACATGTTTTCTTCTTTTTACCTTGAATTGTTTCATGTTTCAGATTAAACCATCTGATGAAGATGCTACCATTATGCTCATTCTATTTCTTCACTTTAGTGATTTCTAATGGTATATCAGTAAGATATATTTTAATTATTCAGTATTTCATATTGGGTGAGTGAAGTCACCCAATAGCAAAGTCATCAGTCAAAATACAACCAACAGTAATAAGTTTGAGATACGTGTACCATAAGGGTTACAATGCATGCATGTGTTTACATTTATATACTGTGGTAGTTACAAAATTTCATGTCAAACTGAAGATTATAAAAGTGCAGGTGTGGAGTTTAGCTTGCAGGGCCCTGGGACCCTCCCGGTCTCTCTCAGCCTTCACTTTCCTGCTAGCTGACCCTGACTGCTGCCAGACACACCATCATTGGATCCACACAACTTTGCACCCACAGTTTTGTGATCTTCCTGAATCTGCATCACTGCATGTGGTTGTGTGAGTCTGAAGAGGGGCTTTTGGACTAGTATCGCACTTACTTGAGATGTACCAGGCTGGGTTGTTTCCTTGATATAATATTAATTCTTGATAGAAAGCTCTTTCTTACACATATATGAGTGTTTCTAGATTTGTGTCTCTAGTTCACCCAGCCTAACACATTTTGGTATCTGGGGGTGGGGTACTACAGAAACAAATCATGAAAATGGACAGTGTATGCTTGTCTGACCTCTGCCTTGTCGTTTTTCTTCATTGGCTACCCAGAGGTAAGACAGGGCCACACTATTCACTGGGTATTTTTCTGGAAAGGACATATGAAGTGAAGGTTTTGATTCTTAAAAGTTGTCTTTGGTTCTACCTTTCTCCCCCACCTTTCCCTTACCTTCCTGGTATCACTATTCTCATTATTGGTCCTGAGGGGTTTATCTGTTCTGGATTCCCTGTGATTCCAGCTCTTATCCATACCACTGTACATCCTCTGGTCTAGCCGGATTTGATCAACATACCCGCCCCCCCGGGGGTGTGTGTGTGTGGGGTGGGACGGACAACAGAAAAGTGGGTGAAGGGAGACATTGGACAGTATAAGACATGAAAAAATATTAACAATCTACAAATTATCAAGGGTTCGGGATGGAGGGAGGGTGGGGGAGGGAGAGGAAAAACATGAGGAGCTGATACCAAGGGCTCAAGCAGAAAACAAATGTCTTGAGAACGATGATGGCAACAAATGTACAAATGAGCCTGACACAATGGATGGATGGATGGATGGATGGATGGATGGATGGATGGATGGATGGATGGTGATGAGTTGTATGAGCCCACAATAAAATGATTTTTTTTAAAAAGTTGTCTTTGGTTATGCCTGTCTGGAAGGGTGAAAATGAATGTGATTTATACACATTTTGCACTCAGGGGGCGAAATCGCCCCATGAACTTCTGTGGGACTATGCTGCTTAGTTAAATGGCTGACTGAAGGTCTGGCCCTGTTTTGATGCAGCTGGAGGCCTAAGGCCATACTGCACATGAATGGGGTAGTTTAGATGAGAAAAGATTGAATTTGACTATTTTAAGAATTGAGTTTAAGATCTAGCTGTACAAGGATTATACTGATTTCTTCTAATTACTGTTATTGATATAATTATGATAGAAATGACTATTGGTCAATAAGAATAGAGAGGGTTTGTAATCTCACTGCCTTCAGCTATTAAATTGGCTCCAATAAATGGGTACATATGGGAAATGCCTGCAAAAATGTGCAGAAAAGGTATGCTGCACTACGTGCCTTTGAGTGCACAGTACAATTGCATTTTAAAAGACATGCCTTGAGAAAAATAGGCAGACTTAAGTGGGCAAAAAAGGTGCCTTGGGCCTTTTTGAAATTTGAACTGGTACTTCGCTTCTGAAGTTGGAAAACTCTGTTCGTCTGGACTGACTAGAGAAACAAATCTCATAGACACTCACGTGTACAAGAAAGACCTTGATATAAGAAGTAATTGTATATTAAGAAAACATCCAAGCCGAATCCAGGTAAGTCCGTAAGTCCAATATTAACCATTATGACCAATACTGTTAGGTAGGCTAGCTTAGGGCTGGGATGTCCATTAAGGTATGCCCAGAGGACCAAGTTACGGAAACAAAGGAGTGGCACACTGCACATGCTCAGAGGTTCAGGTTCCCACTGGGTAGGCATGGGTGGGCGCTGCACCTGGATTGGCCCACCTAGGCCAGGTGAATTCAATTCAGCCAATGGGGTCGAACCAGGGGTCATCCACCATGCCTCCCTGCGGAATTCTTGAAAAGGAGGAGCCCAGAATCGAGTGGGACACTTTTGGGGGACTCTGTGAGCAGCTTCCAGACAAGCGATGGGTTCGGGAGGGGTCCTATGGGTGCCTGTGTAAACCTGAAACTTCTTCTATCACTCATAAAACTCACTTGGATCACAAACCAGGCTTCGGCGTGAATTCTTTCGCGCGAGGAGCCAAGGACCAAGGTATATCTGTCCCCGGAGAGATCTAACAACACCAGTCCATACATTCCTCTTCAGACTCACACAACACATGCAGTGACCCCAAATGCTGAGAGATCACAGGCCAGTGGGTGAAAGTCTTGTTGATCAAGAGGTGGTGGAAGTATCTCAGCACCTCCGTGTGTCTCCATGTGGCTCCTTCAGCTCCAGGGCTCTAATTCCATCAGTGTGTCTCCATGAGGCTTGTCAATAAGAATGTCAAGCAAAGAGTGAGGGTCTGGCCTATGGTGAACTATTTATCTCCATGTCGTCTTCAAATGAGGTCATAAAACTGCAACTTTATCTATAGGTTAAACTCTACCCCTTGACTCGTAATAGTCTCACGTTGACACCAGCTTATGTAACTACCACAGACCACCCTTTAACTTGACACTTTCACACAACTCTTTAGCCATATTTAATTTTCAAACAGGCAATAATAAAATCATATCTGTACCTAACAGGATAAAACTCCAATGCACACAAATCAACAAGGTGCCACGCTAATTTAAATATAACATTCTCTAAGTGAACCAAACAAAAATATCCTATAGTTTGTAGGCCAACGACTTCATGCCTTTATCTCCCAATTTGGGTATTCAATTTTGATACTGCTCTCTTACATCAACCCAGTGCTCTGGGGAAACAATCCTAATTTTCAACGTTAAGAATATTCATGCTAGTTGGAACCTTGTGAAGTTTGCATCCATAAGCAAAGTCAAATCAAAAGAGGTCATCCATAAAGGCAGCAGTAGTATGCATCAGTTCACAGGTTCAAAAGTCTTATCTTCATCTGGTTGAGTCTGGTCACTTCATCAATGTGGGCTGCCTCACAGGGTATCCATTGCATTTAGACCATCAGCCCAGTCACAAATTCTCAACAACCCTAGCCCCCTGGACTAGGTCATGAACTTCAGACCCGTCAACTTGTTCTTGTCTTCTCCTATAGTCCCTCTGAACCAGGTCCATGGGTGCCAGTGGCCAGACTCAACCCATCTCTGTATTGCTGCTGGTTTCAATCACTTCCACTCAACAAGTAGATCCAGGTGGTCTATTAGCAAGCATTTCAGCCTGCCCACAGGCTTCCTGTAACCTTCATTCGTAGAGAGGAGAGTTTCATTATGGCTCCAAATTTTTTCCAGCAAATGGCACAATCCACTAATTCAAAATTCAAAAAGCCAAAGAGTTTCTTTGTCTTCAAACTGTCAAAAGCACCCTAGGCAAGTCTCTTCACCTTCTGATGTCCTGAGCACTGAAGACACTGGGTGGGGTGTATCCTTTTAGAGCCTTCTTTACAGGCCTGTCCTAACCCATTCAAATCCCAATTTCATGGCTAAAGGCGAGTAGTCTTACAAACTCTCTATTTTTACTTCCCAATAATGATTTATATGAATCATTATACCAATTACAATAGGCAGAATAAAACAGTATAAATCTAGTACAGGCAAATCCTAAAATCACTTATTAAAACAGTCAAGTTCAATCCTTCTCTATCTTATCTTAACCCTTATCTAAACTATTCCATTGATAGAGTATGGCCTTAGGACTCTGACTGAATCCAGCCAGGCCCAGGCTTTCTGTCAGCCATTCTGACCTTCTGACAGCCAGTTTTGCTACGTAGCATGGTCTCTGAAAATTCAAGTGACGATTTCATCCTGAGCTCCTAACACACATTAATCACATTCATTTTCCCATTTCAAACAGGAATAACCAAAGAAGAGAATCAAAACTTTAGCTTCCCAGATTCTCTCCAGAAAACAACCCAGTAAACTGCAACCAAATTACAAAAACTACAAGCTTCCACTCTCCATCGCTACAGTTTGTTGCTCAGTAGCCCACTCCCAAGGAAGAGGGGCTCAGGAAACACTATCGGACTTAAGTTGGACTGGGCTGGGCTGTTTCCTTGATAAACAACTTGGTGTTATAAAGCATTTTCTTACACATATATGAGGGTCTCTGGATTTGGCTCTCTAGTTAACACAGAAAAACATATATACATATGAGAGGATTCTAAAAGGTGTTGGAAAATTAGATTACCTCTACATTTATCACTAACTTTTTAAACACTTCTCTGATAAAAACATTTCGATGCCATGATGCCATCTTCAAATTCTCTTTTAAAACACTTCTTTGTCTCAGTTGAGTGACACTCACCTCACAAACACAGTCTGGTCTTTATTCTGATCTTCAGTGACAGGCAATTCACAGACTTCTCCTATCATAGAGGACCAGGTGTCATTTTTCATGAACTGTACTGCATCTTCAGAGGACAGATTTTCTCCATCATCAAAGTTTTGAGAAACTGAAAACATGATTAAAAGTTAAGGTTAAAAGTAAAGCAGAAGCAAAGGCACTACTCAGATGGAAAAGGTTTCTGTGAGAAAAAAGATTTTAATACATTTTCCTGTTTCAGGACTTAGACCACAGTCAAAGAGCAACTCCACAGGAGGCAGTGCCATGACGACTGAGACTGACAACTGGAATGCAAAGGAAGGATAAAGTAGACACACTCCCCACGGACCATGAAGAGAGGAGTGAGGGCCACCTTCTCTGTGAGCACTGCGGTGCCGGGACGGACACGGTCCGAGAAGCAAGCTCAGTCTCTGTGAAGGGTGTGCTCGACCCAAAGAGACAAGTTCACACGGACGTCTTCACATCTCATTCCCTCCTGCAGCCTGGTCCTTCAGAGCTTCTTCCCTCCTGCAGCCCTCAGCACGGCGGTGCTGGACAGGTGCTACCTGCACTCTCCTCAGGTCTTCCTCTGGCTACTCTGGGACATCAAATGTGCGTGGCTGACCTGCTGCTCATGGAGAAAGACCTATCATGGGGAAGACAGCAACGAGCAAGGAACACTTCCCTGACACTGAGGCAAGATTTGTTAGTCAAGGTGTCCAGAGTGTGGGGAGATGTAATTTATCTTGTCAAACATGTGACGGACATAGTAAGCCTCGATGCAATGCTCAGACCACAAATATCTCTCCGAGTGTACAACATTAGAAGAAACAAAGCTTTCGGTCACAATTGAAATAAGATATCCCTGTAACACACAGTCTATATTCATGGAGAAGCTATAACACGATGCTCCAAAGGGCACATACTCCAAAGGGCACGTTGTCCCATTTATCAACGTCCTCTCATCACTGGGCCCACACTGTGGAGCACCAACAACGGGTATGCCACATGTGGTCCCAGGAGAAGGTGACTTTTAAAAAGAAGCCATCCATACCTACAGAGGCCAGGTTTCTGATGGTTTCCATCATCACGTCTCTGTAGAGTTTCCTCTGGGAAAGATCCAGCAAGGCCCACTCTTCCTGGGAAAAGTCCACTGCCACGTCCTCAAGGGCCACTGCATCCTGAAACATCCCACAAATTCTGGTTCAGCAAGTTACCTTATAGTTCTCAAGTAAGAGAAAGTGTTTTGAAAATGATGAAGGAAACATGTACAAATGTGCTTGACACAATGGATGCATGGATGGATTGTGAAAAGAACTGTAAGAGCCCCAAATTTTAAAAAGTTACCATGTAGTTCTACAGTGAACTTATCTCCCCACAGTTTGACTGGGGCCATTGCAATCTTATCAATCTTGTCATGGTCCAGAAAAGAGAACACTCATAACACATGACGTAACTTAGATAAATGCTCTAAAATTTAACCCCTATGTCCACATACAATCATCTCTTCCATTCATGAGGAAGGGTGCGCTGTTCAAATCTTTCCACAGGATGAAATAGAGTATTTATGAATTACAGGAGGAAGCAGGATGAGCTGTTAACAAGTAGAAATCACTGCAGACACCGCAGCTTTTCCCTTAGCCCCTTACCATCTTGGGAGGCCCAGTGGTCTGCAGAACAAAGGGCAACTCAAAGCCCTGACCTCACAGTCTTCGATTTCAAGAACTTCAAGTGACCAAGAACCGGCAGACCAGCTGCTGAAAGGAGAATGTCATTTTGGTGAACTGTGACAGTTTACACGTATTGTTTAAAAAGTCTAAAGTTGTACTTTGGGTACTCTGCCCGTTGACAGCATTCAACATTAATAAAAAAAAATAATCAAAACCCAGTTGAAAAACAAATAATGAAAGAATCCAGACTTCATGACAATTTTCAAACTCTGAGACACAACGCTACTGTACAGCAATCATTACTGCCTGCTCCTCTGAGCAGACAGACAGAAACCCAGACGGCGCACAAATACATCTTGTTACATGATGACATGAGACTGACCAGTCTCAGAAGAACCACAACAGCAAGCCCTTGTGCTGCTGACCATGCGTTTTAGTAAGTTCCCTGAAGCAGAGGCTTTGGCTGCTAAACTGTACATGAACATCAGGAAAGAGAGACTTACACACCAGCCAGTGAGATGTTTCCATCCTAATTTTATCATGTTTTCAGTCTCAGAACAGACCCTTCAGTCTCTCTGGGAGGTTGACTCCTGACACAACAAGTGAGCCAGAGGAATGACAGGACACACTCACCCTTTGATGTGTGGGACCCTAAGGACAGTCCCTGGGTGACATAGACAGCTAAGCCTTCAGCCACAAAAGGTTGGAGGGTGAAGGCCAGAGAAAGGTTGAAAAATGAGCCACTTAGAGTTCTACTGAGTGCAGTTTTACTCTGAAACACGTGGACATCATGATTTGAAAGCAAGTAAGAGACAGGGATTATTCTTAATAATTGTATTATTGGAAGTTTATTTTTATCTAAAACCAATTCCAAGTATATTAGCTTTAGTTATGAGAATATAAATTGGTTGAAATAGACTAGTTCACCAAAAATGATCACCTTATGAGAACAAATGACCACAATAATTATAGAAAAGCATGAAGTTTAAAAGGGAAGAAAATGAAGTTCATGAGAAGTGAACAACCAGAGCAGAAATATTGAGACTATTGACGAATCGTGAAGACTATAACCAATCTCATGGATGTATCTGTGTAGAAATTGTTGAATGAGGGCTAAAACTTCTGTGGAAACATTCACACAATCACAGAGAGATGGCAAAACAGTACTTTTTAATGAAAATAAAACAACAAAACAGTTCAGGGTCTATTGTAACAATAAGAATCCTAGCAAAAGTAAAGTCATCAAATGCATGTAGTAATAATCTTCAGACAGGAAGGAGAAGAGTTCAGATTGGAACACACTGGGAGGCCATAAAAACTGACAATGCCTACATACCATCAGAAATCCAAATTCCTGTTATTTAAGCCAGACACGGACAGTATATGCACTTATGCATGCTATGTTGCTGTTGTTTGATGCTATCAAGTCAGCTCCGACCCACAGTGACCCAAGGCACAACAAAACAAAACACAATAAAAGAAAGCACAGGGCCATTGTCACAACTGTTCCCAAGACTAAGGGCACTGATGCTGCCATGGTGTCAATCCATCCACTTTACCAAACATGATGTCCTTCTTCAGGGACTGGTCTCTCCTAACAACATATCTGAAGTATGTAAGTCAAAGTCTTGTCGTCTTTGCTAAGGAGCACTCTGGCCTTACTCCTTCCGATACAGATCACTTTGCCTTTTAGCAGTCCATGGTGGCTTCAATATTCTTCTTTAACACAATTCAAATGCATCCATTCTTCTACAGTCTTCCTTATTCAATATCCAACTGTCACATATTCATATAGGAGGCAATGGAGAATACCATGGTTTGGGTCAGGCCACCACAGTTCGGAAAGAAATATCCTTACTCTTCAATACTCTAAAAAGATCATGTGCAACATTTTACCTAATGCAACTCTGCTTTTAATCTATTGACTGTTGCTCCCCTGAGCATTGACTGTGGACACAACCAAGACAAAATCCTGGACAATTTAAACTGTTTCTCCATTTATCATGATGTTACTTACTAGTCCAGTTGTGAGGCTGTTGGTGTTGCCTACACTGAGTGGTAATCCATACTGAAGCTGCAATCCTTGATCTTCCTCAGCAAGTGCTGCAATTCCTCCTCACTTTCAGCCAGCGAGGTTGTATCATCTGCATATCACAGGTTATTAATATGCTTTGCTCTAACCCGGGTGCCACATTCTTCTTCAAATAACCCCGCTCCCCAATGATCTGCTCAGCATACAGACTGAACAAGTATGGTGAGAGGATACAACGGTGACCCACACCTCGCCTGATTTTAAACCACGCAGTATTCCATTGCTTGCGCAACTGGCTCATGATCTATGTACAAGTTCCTCATGAGCACCAGGAAGTGTTCCAGCATTCCATACTGCTCAAGGCTATCCACAGGTGATTAAGGGCCACTCAGTCAAATGCCTTTGCATAGTCAATGAAACACAAGGAAACATCTTTCTGGTATTCTCGGTTTTGAGCCAAGAGGGATGTGACATCAGCAATGACACCCCTTGTTCCATGTCCTCTTCGGAATCCAGTGTGAACGTCTGGAAGCTCCCTATCAATGAACTGCTGCAACCACTGTTGGCCATCTTTAAGCACAATTTTGCTTGAGAATCGTTCTATAGTTGGAGGTTCTGTTGGGTCACCTTTTCTTATGATACCATTGACAATTAAAGTCTTAACAATGGCATAATACTTAGAAATGAAATTCCCACATAATAATTTTACAAAGTCATGTGAAAACCTCTTCAATGTAATAGAACCTATCTTATTTGAGACAGCTACCATGTCTATATTTTGGATACTTACTGTTCATTTCACATTGATATTCACTAGAACAGGCTTGCAAGACCAATATACTGCAAAACCAAGTGACTATTGTGAAAATATGGTAAAAACTACACGATTTTAGTAGTTTTATAAGAACATAACTCTTAAGATTTGCAGCCTTTAGTATGGATTGCAACTCAGTACAAGGACCACCAAAATCCTCACAAGTAGACCAATATGTCCCATCATAATGAATGGAAAAAAGATTGAAGTTGTCAGGATTTCAGTCTGCTTGGATCTGCAAGGGATGCTCAAGGAAGCAGCAGTCAAGAAACCAAATGATACCAGGCCTTGGGTAAATGTGCTGCAGAGCGTTGAAAAGCAGGGGCATTAAGGACGAAGGCATTACTGACCCAAACTATAGTATTTTGAATTGCCTCATATGCATGTGAAAGTTGGACACTGAATAAGATGGAAGAAGCATTGATGTAATTGAATTATGTATTAGCATTGAATATTAAACGTACTATGGATTGGCAAAAGAACAAACATTATGTTTTGGAATAAGTACAACCAGATTGCTCCTTACAACCAAAAATGGCAAGACTTCATCTTCCTTTGGGACACGGTGTCAAGAGAGACTGGTCCCTGGAAAGGGACATCAGGCTTGGTAGAAGGGCTACAACAAAAAAGAAAGATGGATTGACACAGTGGCTGCAACAATGTGCTCAAACATAAGAGCCATTGTGAAGGTGGCTGGGGCCGGGGAATGTTTCCTTCAGTTATACAAAGGTTCACAATGGGTCAGGCCAACCTGGATGGTGCCTAACTAACACATAGGTATAAATACTCCAGGATACTTTGTGAACTAAAAAGCAAGTGTAAATACTAAGCTACCCTTTGAATAATAGAGGAAAACTAATAACATGATTTACTAACACATTTTTCCTCTTAGGTCAGTTCAAATAAACATTCACGAGTTTCAAAATTTGCACCAAAAAAAAAAAATTTGCACCCATTAAACTGAATATTTCTCAGTAGGACAAGCTAATCTAGAAACTTTCTTGCAATGAAAACTGTAACCCAAGAGAATAAATAAATCATTTGACATGTTGAGCTCATCATGAAGAAAGGACTGCTATCTTATTCATTCCCATTCCAGACTGAATACAGCAGATGAAAAGGTCTACGAGGACTAATCCTTAGATGGGAACAACAAGCTTCTCACACACCTGAAAGCCTCCAGGAAAAAGCATCCTCCCTTAACAGGTGGCTCTGGAGAACTCCCACATGCGCTCCCTGCCAGCTGCAAATGATTTCATTGGAGAATCCATGAGGACCAAGCCCCACCCCTGGACCCTATTAACAATCAGCACTTTATCCCACTGACTCTCTCCCAGCTGAGCTACCACACCACACAGGGGCAGAGGTGGAACTGTGGTTGGGGCAAGAATGGCTCTGCAGGGCCTTGGACTCAGCCTCCTCAATCGGGGCAAATCCATCTTCAGACTCTAGTAGGTGGTTCTGTCAGTCAACAGAGAACTAAGGGACAAAACAGGGCCATGTCAGCCCAGTCATATGTGGAAGGTGATCCCAACATACAAGGCTCAAAAACCACATATGTGTACACGA